CTTAGACATGGCCAAGCAGGTAGGAGCCCGGTCCTGGGAGGTGGCAGTGGTGTGCTTCTACTGTGTGCAGGGGGTGTTGGTGGCAATGGGCATCTCTCTACTTCTGCTGCACAGGCTTCCTTTAGGTCCAGGGAGTGCAGTGGAGGGTAAGCTGGCTTCACAGCACATCAGGGCCTGGCCTAGCTTCTAGGTGGTCACCAGCCCTTCAGACCGCCACATGTGGAGAAGAGCCTATAACCCAAGGCCAGAGGTTGACACAGCACCCAGAGCCCTGAGAAAGGTTGAAGAAGTTGAGGGTTTTACTATTTGGATAGAAATGGTGAAGGTAAGGATGACCTTGTCGTGACCTCAGAGTTGGTGCATTCAAGTGACCCTCCTGTGTTGTGGGGAGGTTCAGGGGATCCAGGCAAGTGTTCAGCATGGGCCAGACACACATATGGTCATCTAGAGAAGGGAGGAGAGGGGAGGCTGAGGGTGAGTAGGTGGCTCGTCTCAGGTCTGTGACAGCTCTTATGAAGGGAAAGAAGGCACTAAATCATATAAATGGATCAGAGATTCCGTGGTATTCACAGAGGCCTTGTGTGGACTGAGGCAGACCTGGCTTAATGTTTACTGCCTGGATGATGTGAATGGTATTACCCTCAGGCTCTAAGGTGGGATTGTGACACTGGGCCGTGCCCCTACTCACTCGATGCGGAGCTGCATGCTGAAGATGTAACTTGAGAAAGGCCAAGTCTTCCTGCTTCCTAATTCAGCCTATAGATTTGGGATGAGCTCCAGGCCCTGAGAGGCCCTAAGGCCCTTTGTTTAAGTGTTCTTGGCTCCTTCTAGAGACCAGAGCCGGGATTCAGATGCGAGAGCTGTCCTTGAGTTTCTGTGGTTCGTTTTGGAGGACAGGGTGGTTTTGGCTGGTTGCTGCTCTTCCTGGTAGTTGAATAGGGCAGGTGCCGTGTGGGATCACATGCTGCCTGCTGCTGCCGGTGGGGGCCGTGGTGACCACAGGAATGCCTCAGCAACCTGACTGCCTCCATCGATCACACATCATGGTGGCTGCGGTCTTTCAGAGAACATCTTGCTCCCATTCGTAACACTGAGAGCACTTGGAGTTTCCCATATTGGTTGGGAAAAGCTTACTTGATAAAACAGAAATGAATGGGTACTTAAGAAAGCCAACGTATGAACCGCCACAGGAACCTCATGGGTTTTCTGTGCATACGGGCACAGCTCAGCCCCTGAGGGAACCCCTCACCTGCAGCTTCTTTAGTGGAATCTGATGACTCCCAAAACACACAGCAGGAAGATTTTAGAGTGTGGCCAGTGCCTCAGATGTTACCAAATTCCCAGATGAGTTATGATGTGTGGCCAGTTGGGCAGCCTGGCCACAGGGAAAGAGACACTTGTTACCTCCTTTGTCCCTGGAGGAGTCTGAGCTGCACAGGGTGTGTAACCCTTGTCATGAGCCACTGACCAGTAGCCCAGGGCATGGCAGAGCTAGAGTCCAATATCCAGGGTTGTCCTTGTCCTTGGGCTGTGGCACCAGAAGCCGTTCCATGCTTCATGTTGTCATTGACAAAACTAAAGTGATCTCTCAGCTAGGGCCTTTTCTCTTCCCCTCTGCTCCTCCATCTCACCGTAGAGGTTTCATTGTCCCCATCAAAGGAGGAGGGGTCTGTCTGCTGCCAAAGGGGACAGTCACAACAGCAGCAGAGTTACGGTGGAGGGGACCATATGGATTGTGGCGGCCAGGCCGTCAGCGCATTCAGCTGGAGCCACTCCTGATGGGTGCCCATTTACCTAGGTCCATTGGCCAGAACCAGGTGGCAGCTTCTGGCTGTCAGGGCAGTAGGATGCCTTCTTTCCTGAGGTGTTTACCCTGAGTTGTCTTGGCCCCGATGTCCCTGAATCGGTCACTTTTTTTCATGGAAAATAATTTGGAAAATGGAAGATGGCAAGATTTAGGATATGTGTCTTTTCCTCTGACTTTCCCAGTCCCTGGTCCAGCACAGATGAAAGAAATGCTAGCAGTAGCCAAAACCCACATTCTGAGTCAACCCTTTGGCATGGCTTCCAACATGCACAATGTTGGAAATGCCTGGCACCCCAGGAGGGCTGGTGGAGCTCGTGGGCTCACAGGTATCTAGTTGCCCATATGTCTGGTGTTGTCAGTGAGGAGAATCTTCTGGAACAAAATGTCACTTCCTGTGATTTCTCAGAACCTTCACTCTATAAGTCTTCACTCCATGCCTGACTTATTTGTTGAAACCCCACATTATGTGTATGATGTATATGCCTCATCATAAAACACTGACTGCCACAGAGATTTGTCTGTGCCAAAGATCACACTTTTTTCTGTCTTCTTAGTCCTTCTATGTACCTGGGTCAGGGAACACAATTTAGGGTGCATTAACTATACCATGTTCGGCATCTTTTAGGGAATTGAAAGGGCCTGACAAATCCTGCAGGGAGCTTCCTAGTTATATCCTGGAGTAATCTATGTTCTGGCAAAGACTCAAAATGCTGATTTCTCAAGAGCTCCAACTTTGAGAATGGGGCATAATAAACCATTTGTTGAAACCTGCGAGCAACACCGAGTTCTTCTCGCAGAAGGTGCCTGTGGAAGGTTGTGCTTTGTCGTGGGTGGTGGAAAAAAGCTGGGATAGAATACTCAGTGCTGTCCAAACGTCAGATGGGATGGTTGGGAACAGACCCCATTGCGTCCTTGGCAGAACATAAACACAAATGTCCGCTTTTTTGCAGGCATCATCTCCTCTGTGGGTGATACCACGCCAGTGAGTATAGAAACGGAGATAATGATGGAGCAAGTGAAGGAACATTATCAAGATCTCAAGATCCAGCTGGAGACCAAGGTTAGGGGTCATGAGGGAGCCACAGGGAGATTTGGGTGCTTCCTGCTGTGTGCCCGAAAGCTTCTCGTGCTGGGCTGACAGTTGTGCACACACACGTCTGTCTGCAGTTTGCCCTGCTCTGTAGTAAGCCCGCTCAGGGGAGGAAAGTTTGTAGGGAGAGGGAAATAAAATTGACATTCAACCGCAAGCCCTCTTTGGAGGGAAGTGGGATATAAGAAATAACTAATAATGGGAGGGAATGGAGTTATGTGTGTCCTGGAGTGTCGCAAGGGTACTGCTGAAGCCAGACCTCCCTGCTTGCTCTGCCANTGTTCACTGCTCTCTGGTTCTTCTCTGGCAGGACCTCGGCCACACACTTGTTAATGCTGGCACTCTGTAACTGCAGTTCCTCACACTGGTCCACAGTCTTGTTCCACAGCTCTTCTGCATGCTCTTTGGCCTAGTGGTTGCAGTGTCCCTGGCAGCAGCCGCCCAGCTCCGCACAGGCAGTGCACACCAGCCATCGCTCCCAGCAGCAGAATCAGCTCAGAGCCTGGCCTTGCTTGGGGCAGAGCGGCCCTGGCTCAGATCCTGGCCCAGGTCCCGGCCCCAGCCCAGGTCCCAGCTCCGGCTCTGTCCCTGCGCTCTCGGGGACATCCATTATTTCTTCAAATACTCGTAGGTTTTCAATCCCTTGCTTTCTCTGTTCACTTTCTGGTACCCCTATGGTGTGATTGTTGTTACACTTGATGTTGTTCCAGAGGTTTCTTAAACTATCCTCATTTAAAAAAATTCTTTCTTGGTTTTGCTGTTCTGATTAGGAGTTTTCTGCTTCCTTGTCTTCCAAATTACTGATTCGATCATCCACTTCATCAAATCTGCTGCTGATTCCTTCTAGTGTATTCTTCATTATTGTAGCATTCACTTCTGACTGATTCTTTTTATGATTTCTGTGTTCTTTTTTATGCTTGCTATGTTCTTATTGAAGTTCTCACTAACTTTCTTGAGTGTCCTTATAATCATAGTTTTGAACTCTTATCTGGTAGGTTGCTTGCCTCCATTTCATTTAGTTCTTTCTCTGGAATTTTCTCCTGTTCTTTCATTTGGTATGCATATCTTTGTTTCCTCATTTTGAATGCTTCTCTGTGTTTGTTTCTATGTAATAGGTAGATCTGCTATGTCTCCTAGTCTTGCCGGTTGGCCTTATGTAGTAGGTGCCCTTTGGGGCCCAGTGGCCCAGTCTCTCTAGTCACCTGCTCCGGGTACTCCAGGAGTATCCTTTGTGTGAGTTGCGTGTGCCCTCATGTTGCAGTTGCGTTTTGATTGCTATAGGGTAGGATTGACCCTCAGGCTGACTGGCTGTGGAGCTTGGTCACATCCACAGCTTATAGGCTACTGTACAGGGGGCTTACCCTGCAGAGCGGAATTTGCCCCAGCAGGCTCTGGTGCCTATTGAAAGTGTGCTTTGGGTATGCCATTTGTGGGTCTAATATGGTGGTGCTCTGCTGTGATCTGAAGCCAACCTCCACATATGCTGGTTCTGGCACCACTTGTGTAGGGCTCCGGTGCAGGCTGAGGTCAGCCACTGCCTGTATCCAGCTGGGGACTACCTGGTAGAAACTGCAAAGCAATCTGTGGTTGGTTGCTCTCTGTGCTGGACCTGGAGGCA